GGCAGATCATCTTCATCTCTATGGCATCACTGTATTAGTTCATTCTCTCCTGTCCCTTTCTTGGCTCTTCTGTGTAATGTCCATCTCTTTGCTACTGATTTTATTTGTTTAATATTATGTCCATGGGTGCAATTGTGTGTGTGTGTGTGTGTGTGTGTGTGTGTGTGTGATATAAGTGTGGGACATGTCACACTTACATCATGGCAGTCAGAGCATCCCTTTGTGGAGCTGGTTCACTCCTTTCTCCTTTAGCTGGGTTCTGGAGCTTGAGCTCAGGTTGCTAGGCTTGACATGTGCCTTTACCTGTTGAGCCTTGTTCTTTTTATTTGTTGTTTATTTCTTAAAACACTTATTAATTTTAATGTGCATCAACATTTTGCCTACAAGTATGTATGCATGCCACATGTGTGTTTGGTGTCCACAGAGGTCAGAATAAGGGTGTTGGATCCCCTGGAACTGGAGTTATTAATGGTTGTAAACCACTTTGTGGTTGTTGGGAACAGAGCCACAGTACTCTGCAAGAACAAATGCTCCTAACCACTGAGTCATCTCTTCAGCCCCAATGTGCATGTTATTTACATATATTTTCTAGACTAGACACTGAGGGGTAGAACTATTGGGTCCTCTGCAACACTACTCTACCACTACTGAATAATCTTTCCCGCCCTGAGCCTCATATTTTGAAACGAGATCTCGTTGTGTAGCCCAGGCTGGCCTGGAACTTGAAGATCTGCTCCTGTCTTAGACTCCTGAAGCCCCGGGATTAGAGAGCTGTACCCCTCTCACTCAGCTGTTAGAGTTCTAAGTGCTCTTCAGTAATGAGATGTGTTGAGATTTTGATGAACATTGCAAATGAAATACTGTGATTTTTCCAGAATATTATACTATGGTGTCTATCTTTTTATTATGTTTTGTTTTATGGAAATAAAAAGAAAGGCCTCAAAGCATTTTGGGGGAAAGAATATTGGAATAGTGAGAAGTGAAAGAAGTCCCACCGAGTCACACTTTTAAAGACTTGCTTAATCCTTCAAAATGTGTTTGTTATTTTTTTTTTTTAACAAATTCCCTTTGACCCACAGATTTTCTATAACTGACCAAAGCTGGATTTTAGCTAATCCTTGTTTTGATAATAAGCCCACTGGTTCAAGCAACCCCAGAGGAAGAAATATTTCAAAGTTAAATATTGTAATCTCATAAGCCTTTTTAGGCTTATACTTTAAAATCTCCATAGTCCTCACAAAGATTCTTTTTGTAGGAGCTGGAATGCTTCTGGTCAAGAAAGATGGATTAAGTCAAGTTGTGTGTGCACATACAAAGGCTGGAGGTAGATTGCAGATGTGTGCATGCATGCACACTTGACCTACTGATCATTGAGGAAGAAGAGCTCAATTTGAAGTTAAACATACAGAGTTATAACAGGTTTTAGCATTACCCAGTTTAGAACGTGTCTTACTGAGCTCTACAATCCATATTCAATTGGCAGAGTACTTGTCTAGCATGAATAAAGCCTGAGTTCGATCCCTAGTAGTGCATAAAACAGATGTGGTGATGTGAATCTGTTATCCCAGCACTTGGGAGGAAGAGCAGGAGCATCAGAAGTTCCAAGTCATGAGATATTTGGGACCTAATCTATAAATAAATAAATAAACAAACAAATAAATAAATAAATAATCAATCTATATTCACATCTGTCCAGATTTCCCTTCATAGACCAAGGTTTTTCCTTGTGGTGAACATTGAATGTATATTCTATTTATAATTCTATTTCACCGCTCCCTTTCCTTGAAGGAAATACACTCACTTGAAGTTTTCTGCAAAGCAGAGTGTCTTTGATACTGCACTTCCTTTAGCAGCATTGTTCAGTGATAGCCAGGACTCTTTTGTCCTCCCTGGGTCAGCCTTCACTCTTTACTAATGTGTTCATCGATTAGTGGTGATAGCCCAGCTACAAACACCAACACTAGTGAGGCTGCACAAGCATTGATGAACAGGCACCAGGTGTAGCCGGCAGAAGGGAGCTGGCATTGATGGGGAATGTGATGGTTCATCTCTGAAGGAAGCTAGAGCTCCATAGTGGGCAAGCTGTCATGCAAATCACAGACGGAAACACAGCCCTGTCCTTGAGGAACTGAGAAACTAAGAAGATCAAAGTGAGAGTCTCTCTCATTACACCACAGGGAACTCCAACAGAGAAATCTGTTAGCCACCTCAGTGAAAGTTAGACAGAGGTATTTTGAAAATGGAAACTGTCCTGTTTAAAATAGATTGAGCGTGACTTAGAGCGTGACTATCTGATAGAAATATAAGATACACCGATGTCTGTGTACTTCAGTGTTGTTGGGGTTTTTACTCTTTCGGGGGACCAGCTCCCCAGCTCCCAAATATATCATTCACGGAGGCTTATTCTTAATTATCAATGCCCGGCCTTAGCTTGGTTTGTTTTTAGCCAGCTTTTCTTAAATGATCTTATCTACCTTTTGCCTCTGGGCTTTTCCGGTTCTCTCTTTTCTGTAAATCTTACTCTCATTCCGTGGCTTGCTGCGTAGCTGGGTGGCTGACCCCTGATGTCCTCCTCCTTCTCTGGCTGCTTCTCTCTCCTTCCTTCTCTCAGAGTTCTCCTTCTATTTATCCTCTCTACCTGCCAGCCCCACATATCCTTTCTCTTGCCTTGCTATTGGCCGTTCAGCTCTCTATTAGATCACCAGGTGTTTTAGACAGGCACAGTAACACAGCTTCACAGAGTTAAACCAATGCAACATGAACAACAGTAGCACACCTTAAAACAATATTCCCCAACACTTCTTTTGAGGCGTCTCATCTAAAACCGTGCAAGGGGAGTGAATGGGGGGAATTACTGGACAGTGGCCACTAAGCTGAGGTTAGGATCGAAGAGCCCTAGTATGCCATAGCAGAGTGGTGACAGACAGTTACGTGCTGAGTCACAACAGGCTGGAGGAAAGGATTTTCACTATAAAGAAATCACAGGGGCTGGGGAGAAGGCTCAGAGGGTAAAGTGCTCGCCAAGCAGGACTGACAACTCGGGTTTAACCCACACAGAGGAGGAAGGAGAGAACCAACTCTACAAAACTCTCCATACGCACATCATGCATACAATAAATGCATACAAAAAACCCACATGGCACCTTACAACTGTGTGTTACTCTAGTTCCAGGGGATCCAGCATCCTCTTCTAGGCTCCACAGGTATTGGGTATATTGATGTATTTATATACACACAGAAAAGGCACTCATGCACATAAAATAGAAATAAATAAAATCTTAAAAGCTAGTATTGCAACTTGTTTCTCTAGCCTCAACAAATATCTGAAGTTTGCCCTATTGTTAAATTTTTAAAATAGAGACAATTAAAGTAAGCTGATAATTTAATTTGAAAATGTGCATACAGGAGAAATCAACTTTAACGTATTTTAATTAGTCATATACATGATATTATCTTAAGAATTAATAATTTAAGAATTAATAACTAGATAATTCACACTTATATACAGTCTTCAAAATTAATACATATTTTATAATTACAACATATCTTACTTCAGATTAACCTTATCAAGGATCAATAACTACAGGAAACCAGTATTACCATGGGGAGCAGGGCCAGCATAGAATATTCAACCCAGAGGGGACTGTGTGTACTACAACTCACACTTGCTGAAGATTTGAGATATTTCACTTACTCCCTTTCCACCTGCCACAACCAGAAACTGGTTACAGAGAGGATGGGACCAGTTTCTTTACGCCTCAAAAGTTTTCAGTCTTCCGAGGATCGGTCGGGCAACGCTTGCTATCATCTAAGGAATTTAGGGACCCAAAAGGGTCCTTTGTTGAAAGCAGCCTTTCTCTGTGATGGATCAGAAGCATTCTTGGCATTCTAGGGAGTCTGATCTATGTTCTCACGTGCTCATGGTCCATTCGGGAGGCCTGGCCTGGCTGTTGGCGTTGTCTCCTCTGTGGTTTGGACCAGGAGGCATTCTCCGGCCCACGCTTCTCTTTCTGTCTGGGCCTACCTGAAATAATGTATTCTGGCAGCATTTCCTTCTGTTCTGGCTTTCTTTCACAGGCCAAGGCTCTTCCTCAGCAGTGGAAGCAAGAAGAGGAGCCTCCATCTCTCTGGTGTTTGGGCTTTTCAAAGCCAACTCACGGGCACCTTGCACACCATACTTGGCAGTCTGCTGAGGTTGGCACTTTAATGAGGAGGAGCCCACCGAAAAAAACCACAGAGACCTGATGGTTAGACTCTGACAAAGGTTTTCACATCAGTGTGCAAAGGGATTTGTGAGGGTGCCTAGCCCTGGGCGAGCTCCATTTTTCAAAATTAATTAATTCATTACATTTATTTCCTGAGATAGGATCTTGTTGGGTAGCTCACGTAGTCTGGCTGTTTTTGCTTTCTGTTTTTGTTTGTGATTATAACACAATCTAGAGTTATCTGGGAAGAGGAAACTCAACTGAGCAAACGCCTCCATCAGACTGGCCTGTAGGCAACTTTGTCGTGCTTTTTCCTGATTAATGGTTGATGTGGGAGAGCCAAAGCCACTATGGGCAGTGCCACTCATGGGCGGGTGGTCTTGAGTGAGCAAGCCAGTGAGCAGCATTCCTCTATGGCCTCTGAATTAGTTCGGACCTCCAGATTCCTGCTTGGAGTTCCTGCCCTGACTTCCCTCTGTAATGGCCAGCTGTGAAAAGAAGTAAACTTTTCCTTGATATAGTCTTTATCACAGCGGTAGAAATCTAACAGGATACTGTGTATTCTGTATAACACAGACACCCTTGAATTTATGATCTTCCTACCTTA